GTGAGAATGGTGCTTCTTGTTATTATCCCTTGCACCATTACAGGGTCAGCGAAGGAAATGAAGGGGGGGAGGAACAGACAAGCAATGCGATACTGAGTGACTACAGACTGAAACAAAATGGAATCTGACAGCTGTAGAGACAAAAACATTCCCAATTCCCAACACCAGTCTCTCCCAAGGGAAAACCTGCCTCACAAACAAATAAGGTAGCTGGATCCGCTCACCTATCTGAAAGCAAATGTCTCGTCTTAGATCTAGTTCTCAAAACGTGAGCTTTTCGTAGATGATTGCATTACACATAAACAGCTAGTATAGCCACTCAACTAGTCGGCCACTTGCTTAAAGAAGTTTTAGGACCTGAGCAGATGAATTCTGTTCAAGTGTTCTGCTGATTGATTAAAGTATGTAGGAATTAAAAAAAAATAGCATCACAAAACGGGGGGGGGATTACACTTCTCTTTTAGATGGTCTATAGGCAACTCAAAGCAGGTACCATCTAAGAGGCATTCCCTCCTGAGACACAACAGGGAATGCCTCTTCGAAGATGGTGCCTACCTCTTACAGTTCATAAAATAAAAGGTAAAGGTTTCCCTTGCTCAAAAGCTAGTCAAATCCAACTCTAGGGGGCGGTGCTCATCTCCATTTCCAAGCCGAAGAGCCAGCACTGTCCGAAGACATTTCTGTGGTCATGTGGCCAGCATGACTAAACGCCAAGGCACACGGAACACTGTTACCTTCCCACTGAAGCAGTATCTATTTATCTACTTGCAATTTCTTGCTTTCGAACTGCTGGATTGGCAGGAGCTGGGACCAGAGACGGGAGCTCACTCCATCACACAGCAGTAGGGTCTCGAACTGCCGAACTACGGACCCTTCAGTCTGCAGCTCAGTGTCTTAACCTCTGAGCCACCGCAACCCCTCTTACAGTTCATACTAGTTCTTATATTAAAATACGTTTTAAAAGATAACAGGATAACTCATTTAGCTAGGGCTTCCTTTGTAGTGACTCCCAACTGTTGTCTACACATGAAGCTGCCTTACACTGAATCAGACTATTGGTCTATCGAGTCTTGTCCACTCTGGTTGGCAATGGTCCTCCCAGGTTTCATGTAGAGTTCTTTCACATCATCTACCTCCTGGATCTGTTAACTGGGGATGCTAGGGATTGAACCTGGAACTTTCTGCATACAAAACGGATGCTCTGCCATTGATGTACACTTGTTCTGCCTAAACAAAAAGCATACTTTGGTAATCTAGCATGGGGATGAGACAGACCCTACACTGAGTTACATTTTTTTAAAAAAAATTGGAACAGGAGGACAGAGTCCTGTACCCTAACCACTGAATTTCAAACAGGCTCACCTAAATACAGATGTGTGAAGCAAAGCCCAAACAGCCATTCAGAAATGGCAAAGGGGCTTCAGGAAGTAGTGACTTGTGTGAATGTAGGTTCCTTGTAGACAAGGACCTTTCCCCCCCTGTTACTATGCAGAATATCCATATACACAGACGGAGCTGCATTAATGCAGGTCATAACCAGGACTCCATCAAACAATCCCATTGCAACTGAATTCAAAATGTGGGTAAAATTCTTCACACATTTCAACTTGAGATCCTTTCAAAACCAAGACATAAGAACTCTCTGCAACAAGATGAGGGACAGACTCAGAAAGGTAATAAAGGAGGAGGTGGGGTGGGGATTGTGTGTGTGTGTGTATTAATCATACATTTTCGTCTGCTTTCCAGAAAAGCTTATGCATATTTTTATTATTCACCAAGGAGATTATAAAGAGTAATTTGTGTGTGATCACCGTCTTTACACGGGGAGCTAAGTTTTGGCATGTTTCCCCAGCCTGCCCCCCATGACCTTTCGCCAGCTCCTCCTTTGCTCCTCAAGTCAATCTCAAATCAATCAAGCTGGCTCAGAGGGGCGGCCCTGGGGCGGCGGGGGGGGGGACACCCTCCGGCTGCTCAACGTTTTTTTGATATGGATTTTTCCTTTTTTAAGTGGCACCGCTCCAGCCGAGGCAGCGGCGGCAGCAGCAAGGGAAAGCGGGCCGAGAGACAGACACAGCAGGCTCTGGTTTTTATTACAACCCAACTTGTCGGCTCTTCTGCTCAACGCCACTCGGGACGACAGCAATCCTCTCCTTCCATTTCATCACTAGCTTACTGCAAAACGTGTCGGGGTAATTTATGGCTACTGGAACTTCCAAGGCAACCGGTTGGGGAGTTAATCAAACGCAGCTTTCGGACCCTTTAAGCAGAGTAACCACAGTTTAAGCGGTTATGACATGCGGTCAGAGCCACAGGCGGGCCGGGGAAACCAGCGGAGGCGAGAGAGGAGGAGAGAGAGGCCGCCCCAGCCAAACCCCACAGCTACCCGGGTCCACTTTTGACAAAGAAACCACGATCGCCCCGAAAAGGGAGAAGCTGCCAAGGAGAAGCCCGTTTTGCTCTGCTGCAGCCAAGACAACGGAGTGTCATGCATGGGGCGCCCTGAAAGGCTAATGTCTTGCAGCAGAAGCTTCGGTGAGTCAGAGTCCATCTCAGCAGATGCAAAGGAAGGGAGGGCTGCCGCCGCAAGCCAGGAAGGTCAATATGAGCATCAGATCCAGAGCCCAGCACAGATCCCGACGAGCTACAAAATCGTAGCTTAGGTGACTGAGGTTTACAGCAGGAGCCTACTCCGAAGCAAGTCCTTCTGTGTACAGAAAGACACTCTCAAACAAGAGCGCGTAAGACGGCAGTCCTTACTGTCCTCTCCCCCCCCCCTTCCAAAATGTGCAAAATCGGGCTTGTATTGTCTGGGGAAGAGAGAGTCCAAGACTAAACAAACGCCAAACCAGGCAGGCGGGACTCGACAGGAGAGAGAGTTTTCCCTTCCTGTCCGATTCCCTCCTTTCTGGAGTCAGAGGCTAGGGGAAAAGCGAGGCAAAACTGGTTTAAGGGAACCACCTCCAAGTGGGGACGGGGGCGGCTTTTTTTTTTTTTGTTGCAAAGTCGGCTCCCCGGGACCAGAGACCTCAATCGCGGTAGCAATGCAACCCTGCCCCCACCCCGAGCTTTAGAGAACAGGCAAATGGACACAAATGTCTTGAAAAGGGAAGCCTGTTTAGGGTGGATCAACTTGTATTGAAAGGGGGAAAACTTTTCTCCGCGGCTTCACTTTTATACAAACAGGGGACTATAAGCCAAAGAGAACTGGGCGGCGGCGGGGGGGGAGGGCATTTAATCGAATTACAACCCAGGAGTTCCGGCCCGCGCGTTGGAGGACCCCCCGCTCTTTGGCGCGCCCCGACTTGAGGAGCCGGGCCCGATCCGTGCAGTCCCCGCGACCGCAGCCTCACCCAGAGCCAAGCCGCTAAAGCCACAGGGAGAGTTGGATCACCTCCTGCCGCGGGAGAGCTGGGGAAGCAAAACCAACCCAGCAATGCCCCCCCCCCAGCCCCCGTCGCTCCAGCGAGCGTCTCGCAGGACTTCTCCCGGCCGGGGGACGAAACCTCGCCGCCCCCGCCCTCCGACACTAGCCCGGCTCCCCTCGCCCCACTGCCGAGGGGCAGCGGCGGCATTAGCGGCATCACGTGCCCTGCTGGGCGGGCGTGGGGGGGGGGAAAGGAGGGCGAGAGAAAGAAGGCTGGCTCCCCTTCCCTGCCTGCCCGCACGCTGCGAGGACAGCAGCGCGCGTCCCTTTGTCTCCTCGGCACCAGCCAGAACAGGACGCTTTCCCGGGGAGAAAGGAAGCCGGACGGCGACCAGGCGCTCATCCCGACCGACCGCCTTGGAGGCGCCCCCCGCCCCCGGCGGCTCGACTCGGCGCTCCTATAATGCAGGGTTTATTTCCTGCAGGACCGCACAGGAGCTCCGGCAGTAAAGAGCCCAGGGGGCGGGCACATGCAACGAGCCCCACCCACTGCTCCCAGCAGCCCTCAGTCAGAGCAAGAAGCAGCCAGGTAAGCTGCAGAGCTTCCCCCCCCCCCCCCCCCCCCCCGCACAATAGTTCCCCGCACTAAAATCCCTGCCGGGCCCCCAGGTAGGCCTCTAGGCAGCCCCCAGCCGCCGCCGCGTCCTCTCCGAGGCTCCCTCGGAGCTGCTGCGCCCCCCGCACCCCTGCGCGCACAGCCCCCGCCGCAGCCCGCCACCGGCCAGCGAGAGCCGCCCGAAGTTGCCCGCGCCGCAGCCGCCAAGAAGCTCTCCGACGACGCGCTGCAAGCAGGGACCGGAGCCGTCCCCTCGCGTCCGGACCCCGCGCGAAGTGCAATTAGGAAACCCGGCAGCGCCCTTCCAACTTCTCTTCCAAGAAAGAAAGAAAGATCGAAATTGCTCCGGCCACCTGCCAAGGTGAGGCTGTCCCTGCCCTGCCGGCCGGCTCCTCGCTCGCACACCCCGCTTGCCCCTGCCCCGGCTCTCCTGCCGCTGCCCAAACGCAGCCCCCTTCCCTTTCCTCCCCGCTCCGACAAGGCAGCGCTCGCTTCCCCGCCTCCGACTGGCTCCGCGGAACCGCCGCTTCCCTCCGCCCCTTCTTCGCCCAGAGTCGCGCAACACCTGCAGCGCACCCGGGAACCGTCCGCGTCCACCACCACCACCACTCCCCAAATTGGACCGCACGACGCCCGGAGTCCTCCCCTGTCCCGACTGCACCAGCCCCCGTCGGGCTTTCTCCCAGCGGCCCGCGGCTCCGACCACCCCGTCGGCGGCGGCGGGTTGTCTTTTCCCCGCCAAAGTCCCCCCCCCCCGAGCGGAGCCAAAGAAGTGGCTGGCTGGAGCGGCCGGCACGGAGGGGAAGAGGGAGCAAGAGAGGGGGGAGGGGGGTGGCCCTCCGGTAGCCCCCACACGGAAAAGTCCCGCATGCAACCTTCTCCTCCCCTGCTGCCAGCCTGGCTCGCGGCTGGTGCCTGCCCTGCTGCTGCTGCTGCTGCTGCTCCGAGCGCACAGCTTGCTTTGCCCGCCCCTGCGAGTCTGCGACGCGCCGCGACTCGGCTCCCTGAATGACAGCTTACCTGCATGCCAATCTTCATCAGACTGACACCGGCCTGACAGCGCAGCCTATACTCACCGCCTAGCCCTGCCGCACGTCAGCCCGGCCCCGCCTTCGCCGGACACACCCCTCCCG